AAGGAGCCCCTCAGGCCACTTTTGTGAGAGGATGAATCCTATTCATGAGCGCTCTTCCCTCATGATCTAATCACCTGCCAAAGGCTTCACCTCCTAATACCATCAGCTTGGGTCACCTCCTAATACCATCAGCTTGGGGGTTAAGATTTCAACATATGAAGGGTGGGGCCACAAATATTCAGACCACAGCTGTGTCTAAAAATAAATGAGGGATTCTGGGAAGTGAAAACGAGATGGTCAGGGTAGTTGGACACCTACGCATCAGGGGCCTTGGACATGGGGAAGTGAAGACCAGGAGGGAGGTATAGTCCCGTCTCTCCTTCCCCTACACCCCTGCCCTGTATTCTGTGACTTGTAGTCCAGAGCTCTGTTTAGTCTCACATACTTAAGCCACAAAAAGGCAAGGCTATAAATGGTCTCCCCGCGGAATTCTGGGAAATGTAGGTTCAACAGCTCCGTGCCGTGGCAGGCACTTCCGGCTCAAGGAAGGCCTTCCTGGGGCATTCTGGGAAGTGTAGTCCAGACTCCCGGTAGTCGCAGGCACTTCCGCCGCAGGAAGACGAGGTAGCAGCCATCTTTTCCCCGGTTTTGGTGGTTAAGGTCAGCTCCTTAGGAACCTTTCAAACTTCCCCGAAATGCGCTTGCGGCCAACTGCTGCCAGTCTTTCGTTTGGGGAGGAAAAGGAGGAGCGACTAAGAGCGGAGGTTTGAGGGGTGAGGGCGCCGTTTTGCGTTTCCCTGGGCGGAGCTGCTTTCGTTGGGGGTGTGCCGCCTGGGAGCGGCCCGGGAGTTGCTTCGCCGGGTCTGAGGGTCTCCCGGGCTCTCCGCTTCCCGACCCGACTACCCCACCTATGACCACCCCTCTGCTTCATAGGATTTCGCACTGGGCGAGTTAGTTAACTCCTCTGTGCCTTCGTTTGCTGTTCTGTAAAAGGAAGGTAAAAGAAATACCTTCCTAATACAATGTTGTGAGAAAAAAACGAGATAATACAGAAAGCTTAAAACTCTGGCTTCTCACATGGATTATCAATACTACTATAATTCTCCTAGAAGTGCTCGTTTCGCAGTGAGCTTCTGCGAGCCCGAGAGCTGGATTGTCCCTGACTCCTGACGTTTTTAGGAAGGAGAGGGTTGCTTCTAGCAGATACTGGGGGACGTCACCAGTTTATCGGAGATATAGACACACTCCTGTTGTTTCACAGCCTTTCCTTCCCTTGACCTGACTTCTCAAAAAGCACTGCACGAGGAGACAGCAGAGCCCCACATGAGTAAGACTTGTCATCCTTCTTCTACAAAGATATTCACGTAAATCAGAGACTGTGTGGGTCGTGTACTTGGGTGTAGAAAGTGATGACATTTAGCGTTAGTTTCTTTGGGGACTGTTAGTACACTGCAGTGCTACTCAAACGGTGTGGTCCATGTACCGGCAGCATTGGCATCACTTGGGTAGAAATGCTTATTCTTGAACCTTATGCAAGACCTTCTGATTGAAGATTTTTGCAAATGGGACCCAAGAATCCATATTCCAACAAGAATCCAGTATAATTCCTTTACAGGTTATAGTTTGAGAGCTCAGGAAAGGGTATTTTTGTTGTTGTTGTTGTTATTGGAATGTCACTCTGTAACCCAGGCTGGAGTGCAGTGGCATCCTCATCGCTCAGGCGATCCTTCTGCCTCAGCCTTCCAAGGAACTGGAACTACAGACCAGCGCCACCATACCCAGCTAATTTTTTGGTTTATTGTAGAGACGAGGTCTCACCAAGTTGCCCAGGCTGGTCTCGAACCTGTGGGCTTAGGCAGTCCTCTCACCTCGGCCTCCCAAATTACTGGGATTATAGACGTGAGCCACTGTGCCCGGCAAGGAAAGGGTCTTATCTGGAAACTCAGGCCTATAAAACTGGCCCTGCTGTATGTCACAGATAAAACTGAACTGACCATGCTAGAACTCAATCCAGTGATTTTTTTTTTCCTTCCCTCTAAATATTGTTGACTGTCAAATCTCTTTGCAAAATCATGACATACATGAGCAGAAGGCAGCTGGCAAATCTAGAGTCAAAACGGAGGGACTTAGAAGTCCTGAAGATATATTTCTCCCAAGCTTTGGGGAGTAGATTCATTACCTTCTTTTGTAATGGAGGACTTTTACCTGAAGTGGGAAGATCGACTACTAGTTACTGGGTTTGTTTTTGTTTTTGTTTTTGTTTTGAGTCTGAGTAGCACACTCGCCCAGGTTGGAGTGCGGCTGCACACTCATGGCTGCCATAGCCTTGACTTCCTGGGTTCAGGTAATCCTTCTACGTCAGCCTTCCAAGTAGCTGGAACTACAGGTGTGTGCTACCACACCTAGCTAACTTTTTGATTTATTATAGAGACAAGGTCTTGCCAAGTTGCCCAGGTTGTTCTGGAACCCCTGGGTTCAGGCAGTTCTCTCACCTCCACCTCCAAAAGTCCTGGGATTACAGGCGTGAGCCACTGCACCTGGCTTAGTTACTGTTAATTATTTTTTATTTTGTTGCCATAGTTGTTGTCATCGTCATCATTACTATTGTTATTATTACTGTGTCTATTTCCTGATTTACTTAACTTTTATTTTTATAGTTTTAAACTTACAGAAAAGTTGCAAAAAAAAGTGTAAGGAACTCTCATATGCTTTTAACCCAGATTCACCAATTGTTTACATTCTCCTTATTTACTCTGTCAATGAACTGATACCACTAAGAACATGCCTGTAATCAAAGACAGTTAAGTTTGTTTTAGCTTGCTTCAGCAAAGAAGCCCACACACCACAGGGAATCATGAATGGGATGTCTTAGGCAATTAGGAGGGGCTGGCTATAGGGTTTTGGCTTGTCTTAGCTGAGTTAGGGAGAGTTTTAGGCTGTGACAGTTTGTTCTGGATTGGATATGGTCAAGAAACAGAAGCAGTTTGATGACTGATTATTGTAATAACTTTTATATAGGAGGTGAGCGAAACAAAAGGAAATTGAAACTGTCACTGGCAACAAAGTCGTCACTCATATTACCCAGGAGCGGTGGTTATTTGGTTATTTTTGTCATTGTAGAATGTATGTCTCTGTATTACAGACAGTCTTATTCTGTCTTGTTCACCACGGTCACTGAGTAGCCCTGTCTGGTTCTTGCTGATAAATTGAAAACACCAGGTTCTAGCTGTTGCTGCCATTAGCTCTCAGACCTTTTTTTTCCCTCCCTCTCTCTCTTTCACAACTTGGTCATACTTACATTTTGGTTTGCTTTTGTTGTTATTTTTGCTGAGCATTTGTGAGCAAGCTTAGGGACAGTGATCAAAATGAAATTAAGGCCAGGCATAGGGGCTCATGCCTGTAATCTCGTCACTTTGGGAAGCCAAGACAGGAGGATCACCTGAGCCCAGGAGTTTGAGAACAGCATGGGAAACTAGGTAAGACTTCATCTCTACAAAAAATTTTAAAAATTAGCTGGACATGGTGGCACGTGCCTATAGTCCCCGTTATCAAGAGGCTGAGGCAGAAGAATTGCCTGAGCCTGGGAAGTCAGAACTGTGAGCCGTGATCATGTCACTGGACTTCAGCCTGGGTGATAGAGTCAGACTCCAATTCAAAAAACCTCCCAAAATTAGTTACACTGATACCTTACTGTTATCTAACCCACAGTTCATATTTAAATTTGTTCAGTTTTCCTAATAATGTCTTTGAGAGCAATTATTCACACCCCTAGGTCAGGGTTCAGTCTAATTGCATACAGTGCACTTAGTTTTTGTGTCATTAGTCACTTTTAATCTAGAATGATTCCTCAGGCTTTATTTTTCTTTTGTATCAGTGAATTATTTTGTAAAATGTTCCTATTTTGGGGGGGTTTATTTGATATTTGTTCATGTTAAATTGAGGCTACGCATTATCAGCAGAGATGACATAGAAGTGGTAAGGCATCTCCAGTGCATCATAGGAGAAGTCACATGTTGGTTTATGGGCTTGTCCTGCTTTGTGGTCTCACCTTTGTTCTTTTGGTTAAGGTGTCTGCCAGATTATCTTTTTTCTTTTTGCAATTAATACTTTGAGACTATTTGCTACCTTATTCCTCACCAAACTTTCACTGATTTTTAGCATCTATTGATGATTTTCTAATTGTCGTTCATTCTGCATTTATTCGCTTATGTGTTTTTTAATATAGAAAGAACTTTCTGCTCTCACCCATTTTATTATGCATTTCTTATAAAAATATGGACTCAGATGCCTGCCTTTTTCATTTAAATTAGGCATGAATTGTCAAAATGTTGCTTTTTTAAAAAAATTGCAAGATCTTAGGTTTTATTGGCTTGATGTTAAGGTAGCAAATTATTAGAAAGATGAGATTTTTCAAAAGTTATAAGATACTCTCACATGACAGAGCAACAGCTATGAATTCTAGGTGTCTTGTAATATTCTATTGGTGGAAATTACATTTTTAAGGATAATTTCAAGCTGTAGACTATCATGTTCTACTGCAGTTGCAAAGAAATAAGAAACCTGACAGCATTCTAAGAGTTTTCTACTTTGCAGCAATTGATACTGTTATTCTCTCTTACTTGTAGATGACAGAAATGAGGCAAAGAGATGCTAATAATTTTCCCAGGGTGACAGTAGTGAGTAACTGTGCCAGAATTTTAGCCCCCATACACGGGAATTCCAGAGGCTTCTCTTACTTTTATTGTCTCTATTTAGACCATACCTAGAATTAGAATTACTACTGTGGTATTACAAGCACACTGGTGATTGGGCCACTGTGTATGGTTGTTCCCTGAACTATTGCTACTAAAAGGGGTAAGATGGATATTAGGGATACATGTTACATTTTGCTCATAAGCCATGCGTAGCTGCAACCACACCAAGGAACAAGCACCTTTGCTAATTCACAAGAAGCAGCCACATGGCTTAACCACATATTTGCCCAGTTTCCATTGACTTCTCTCTTCTTTCCTATTTCTGCCTTCTTAGAACTCTGCACTTCCCAGAAAGAATAATTAAAAATGAGTATGTTCAAGGTGAGTAGAACTTGCTTTTCTTGTTATTAAAAATGTCATTTTTAGGCTGAGTGCAGTGGCTCATGCCTATAATCGCAGCACTTTGGGAGGCCGAGTTGAGAAGATTGCTTGAGCCTAGGAGTTTATTTATTATGCATGTCTTATAAATTCCTGAGACTAGTCTGGACAACATAGTGAAACCTTGTCTCTAAAATAATAATAATAATAATACAAAATAAAAATGCCATTTTAGTACTTAGAGATGGGATACAGGTGTTTCTCCTTCAAGACTAATCAAAGCATTTGAGAACTTGTTGAGTATGCCTTGTGTTTGTTTTGTTTTGTTTACGTTCAACTGGTTTGGGTTTAAATTTTATTTCATCATTTTTATTTTACAAATAAAGGTAGAAAAAATTAAAAATGGAAACATCTTTTATTCTGCTATTTCCCTGCTTGCAATTTGACTGCTTTTATATTCCTGTAATTTCTTCATTGTATGTACTTGTAATTATATGCTTGCATTCATAACTAGATGCAATTTTAAATTGTGTTTTTAAATTTTAATACTATGTAGTACTCATTTTTATTGTTAATATAATATTCTCATCAGATTTATGTGCCCTATTTTAAACCATTCTCTGTCAATAGCCATTTAGTTAATGATTTTTGCTGTTTTAGAAACTATAGTGGCAGTTTTCCTGCATTTTACTTTTTCTGAAAAAAATCAATTTTGAAAAATACTGCCGTTTAAAATTCTTAACATAGTAGGTATTCAGAATTGAAAAGCTATGTTTTGTATGTGGTATGTTGGATTATTTTGTTTTGTTTTTTGAGTCAGAGACACATTCTATTGCCCAGACTGGAGTGCGGTGGCATGCTCACCATCACCACGGCCTCAATCTGCTGGGCTCAGGTGATCCTTCCACCTCAGCCTTCCAAGTAGCTGGAACTACAGGGATACGCCACTATGTCCATCTACTTTTTTTTTTTTTTTAAATTGTAGAGACGAGGTCTCACCAAGTTGCCCAGGCTGGTCTCGAACTCTTGTGCTCAGGCAGTCCTCTTGCCTCGGCCTCCCAGAGTGCTGGGATTATAGGCGTGAGCCACTATACCTGGCCTTCAGTGTATTTTGATAGATTATTCAAAATGGCACAGTGCATCAGGATTTAATTGCTTTTTCACACAGAAAAACTAGTTAGACTTTTTTTCCCCTAAAAGAGCTAGATTCTGTCTTCCCCGTGTCTCAGTCATGTTGTGTGTGTTTTTTACCTTTAACTGCTTTTTAAAATAAAGTAATATGTAACCTTAGTTTAAAGTCTAGTGGTACTAGAGGACTTATCAGGCATGTGTACTCTGTACACCACAAAGCAACTGTATGAGGAGATACTTGGTTTCATTTTAAGCATAAAAAGAAACATTAGGAACTTATTCAAGTTCACATAGAAAACCAAGGATCTGGAGTCAAGATATTATATTCAAGTGAAAGATTAAGACAGAAGGAAAGACAGTCTTTCATTCAGACGTCTGGCTTGCCTTTAGATTTATTTCCACATATAACTCTACTCTTCACCTGGCTCTGACTTCAGTGGGAAGGCAGGTGTTCCCAAACACTGTTGGGACTAAATTGGTAAACATTTCTGGAGAAATTGGCAATATTACTTAAAAAGTAAAACCTTTTCATTTTGGCTGGGTGCAGTGGCTCAAGTCCATAATCCCAGCATTTTGGGAGGTTGGGGCGAGAGGACTGCCTGAGCCTGCGGGTTCAAGACCAGCCTGGGCAACATGGTGAGACCTCGTCTCTACAGTAAATAAAAAAAAAATTAGTTGGGTGTGGTAGCATGCACCTGTAGTTTCTGCTACTTGGAAGGCTGAGGCAGAAGGATCGCCGGAGCCCAGCAGGTTGACGCTGGTGTGGCGGTGAGCATGCTACTGCACTACACCCTGGCAAGGGAGTGAGACTCCAACTCAAAAAAACAAAACAAAACAAAAAAACCTTTTAGTTTCAGGATGTAACAGTTGGACTTCTACAGGTTTGCTTATAACAGTATTCGCTGAGAGCACTAGGTAAATATAAAGGTTTCTTTTTCATAGCAGAACTTTTGGTAAAGCCGAGAAACATTGGCAAGATAGAATGAGAAGGGCTGGGAATTATACTACAGATGGCTCAGAATCCATCCTCCCCACGTTTTCTCTGTTGTCTCTCTTCTAGAGGAAATTGTTTGTAAGATTGAGGTCATGTGTTTTTGTTGTAGGAAGCAGTGACCTTCAAGGACGTGGCTGTGGCCTTCACCGAGGAGGAGCTGGGGCTGCTGGACTCTGCCCAGAGGAAGCTGTACCGAGATGTGATGGTGGAGAACTTCAGGAACCTGCTCTCCGTGGGTGAGGACAGACTCCCTCTTGAATGTCTTTGGACCTTGGAGTTTTAAGACTTTGAGGCTTTTAAAATGTTTCCCTGAGTATGGGGATCTGACATTCCTAATTCCTATGGCATGCAGAGACATGGGGACCTGGGATGTTTCTGGTCTTTCTGAACAGGATATGTTAGGTCTTTTTCATTTGTATTTTATAAAAGAACTGTAAATGGACACAATACTGTTATACCTTATCTACTCTTTTTCAGATTTTATGTTTGCCCCATTAGTGAATTATAAAACCAATTTATTGAATTCCACCAGCAATTTTTTTTTCTTGAGTTGAGGCCTCACCCTGTTGCCCAGGCTGGAGTACAGTGGCATGATCACTGCTCACCACAGCTTTGACTTCCTGGGCTCTGGTGATCCTTTCACCTCAACCTCCTGAATAGGTAGAACTACTGGTATGCGCCACCACTCCCAGCTCTTTTTTTGTAGAGACAAGTTTTTGCCATCTTGCCCTGACTGGTTTCAAACCCCTGGGCTCAAGCAATCCTCTCACCTTGCAAATTGCTGGGATTGCAGGTATGAGCCACCACACCTGGACCCTCTAGCAATTTTTAATGAAAAAAAATAGGGTAAGGCCAGGCACTTTGGGAGGCCCAGACGAGAGAATTGCCTGAGCCATGGGTTTGTGAATAGCCTGGGCAACTTGGTGAGACCTCATCTCTACAATAAGTCAAAAAATTAGCCGGGCTTGGTGGCATGTGCCTATAGTTCCAGCTACTTGGAAGGCTGAGGTAGAAGGATCAACTGAGCCCAGGGGGTTGAGGCTGCGGTGGCCATGAGCGTGCTACTGCACTCCAGCCTGGGCAAAACAGTGAGACTCCAACTCAAAAAAAAAAAATGGGTAGAAAATATCAGAGCTTCTTAGGAAGAATGAAACACACTGCAGCAAAAATTCTGGCCAATTGCATGAGTGGTATGAGAGCTGATGAAAAGAGATTAAGGAAAACAAGTATTAATTACAAAAAGGTTATTTAAACTTCATTTTCATAGTATATATTTATGCATGTGTGTCTGCATCATGAAGTAAATGGTGTTTCTTTAATGGGTCATGATTTAAATAAAAGTTTGAAAACACTGCTTTCAATGTCTTGAATATGCAGTTGTAACTCAGATTTCCAATGTATTTTAACTCTTGTGTGTTCATTTTCAACTTGTGACCTTGAATTTTCACAGGACATTTACCCTTCAAACGCGATATATCACATGTAGAAAGAGAAGAGCAGCTTTGGATGATGAAGGCAACAAACCAAAGAGAGAGAAATTTAGGTAAGAAGCAAACAATTGTTAGTTTTTATAGTTAACTAGCCCTCTGTTTTGCTTCTCACCATCCCTGTTTCCATCACTTGGTCCAAATTATCACATTTCTGTTCTGAATTATTACAACATCCTTTGTATTAGTTGCCCTGCTCCTACCTCCCGCTCCTGTTCTTTAAGTGACGGCCAAAGTAATCATTTGTGACTTTAGGTCAGACTATGTTGTTCCCCGGCTCAAAATTCTCTTATGGTTTATTTTAACTTAGATTAAAAATCACTTCAAGTGGCTGACAGAATCCTGCGTGGTCTGCTCTTTGTACCCCACTGCCTCTGTGAATACATCTCCTACACTCTCCCTCTTGCTTGGTGTATGCCAGCCGCATTGTCCTTATTGTTGAGTTTTAGACCTGCCAAGGTTGTGTCTGCCTCACAGCACTTTATATGTTCTTTTTTTTTTGCCAAAACATTCTTTCATCTGTAATCCGCCTGGCCCCTTCTTTATTTCATTCAGGCTTCTGCTCAGTTTTAATATCATAGGAGTCCTTCCCTAATCACCCTGTTGAGAAAAACAATCCTCTTTTTACCCTCTGTGCCCTGCCTTATTTTGTGTGTAAGCATTGATCATCACCTCATGTAATGTTTTTGTTTACTTATCACTTATGTTTCCTTGCTGGAGTGTAATTTTCAGGAGTGGAGGTATTTTCTGCACATGGCAGAGGCACTGTAAATATTAGTTGAATAAATAAGTGAGTTAATGGATATGGAAATCTGTCTTCTATGGAGATGACTAATAGGAAGTAAACAAATCAGAGTAAATGAGGAGTATTACAAAATATTTTTGTTTTCCAATAAATTCCTCACTTAATTTTAATTTCTCAGGCGCCAATTCTAATGTCTCTGCTCTGTGTGTGTGTGTGTTTGCCTGTCTTTACAAGTTGACTTTTATCTTAGAGAACCTATAGTACTGTAAGTGTAAGCAACATGCTTTCTGTGTGACTTTCTTTGAGCAGTTTTAGCAGAGCATATTCATTTGGGGAGGAAATTTTTCTTTTTTAAAATTTCAAATAAAGTTTATTAGAGAAAGAAGGGAGAAAAGAAACGAAGATATGCCAGAGTTGGCACAGGCGAAAGAAACCGCCAGAAATATTTTCTAATTAGAATTCTTACATCTATTTCTTAGGCACTCCCCATTGGAGGAAATAAAATTCTATTTCCTTATCCTTGATATCAGGGAAGAAAAAGTTTCAGAAAATAGCCAGCTCATGAGAGTTAACCTTTCCCTTAAAAGATTTGCCCAGCTGCATCCCATTTGCTTCTTCCGAAGTCCACATTCATAAAAAGAAATAGATCTTACATTGTTATTAATATATCTACAGACATGTTGTGTAGGTTTAAATGTATGACTTTAGAAGACATTTTATGTAATGATACCATTATTTTGTGTGATGATTCTATGATAGTGTCTTATCTGTTTTTTCAAATACTTATCATAAGCTATTACATTTATTTCACAGTTCACTAATAGATTGCATCTGTCAATTTGGAAAACATTCTTGTTAAAGGCAAATGCATTTAAATGTTCTTACTTTGCTTTCAAAGAGATAGCATTTTTCCCTAGCCTCTGAATTTTGACTCTTAGAGAGACACAGTACAAAAACCTCAGAAGGATGTGGTGCTAGGTCTTCAAGCTTCTCTTTCACTCCAAGTGATTTTTATTACCTTTGATTTTGTCCTTAGCATTAACTCCTTTGCGGTACCCCTATTTCAGATACAGTGATTCAACTTTCAGCAAAACTGAATTTGCAGTTCTTTTTTGTGTTTCAGTTACTTTATTTGTAAAAAGCTCTTTTGCTTCTATTGCTTGGCTCAATCTTAAACTTGGATTTAGAGTTATATAGAATCTCATAAATAAAACTGGAGTTCATCTATACATGTGTTTTTTTAGTAGATGGGAAATAAGTGGACTACCTTTTGGTTTCTGTCAGTATATAAACCAGAAAACTTTGTATGTGGAAAAAAAATAAGCTGAACTATTCTCAGGTCTCATACTGTGTCCTAAGCGTGAAATCTTTACTCCTTGAACAAAAGTTTCACTTGTCTATATCTCTGAATTCTTTGTCCTTACAGGAGAGAACAGTCAAAATGAGTTAAGGACTGTTCAAGACAGAGGATCAAATGAAGAGCTTTCCTGCTGGAAAATCTGGCATCAAATTGCAAATGATTTAACAAGATATCAAGGCTCTATGATAAATAATTCTCAGTTTCACAAGCAAAGAGATTCTCCCTGCCAGGTAGAGGCAGGGCTATCTATTCAAGTTTCTGAAGATGAGAACTATACAGTAAATCATAAAGTAGATGATTCTAATGGTACTGGAAATCCTGAGTATACAACTTTGAGAACCCAGGATTCTTGGAGGAAAGCTTTCCTAACTGAGTCACAGAATTATCAGAAGAGAGATCAAGTTTTTATGAAAACTAAGCTATGTCAGTGTAAACAGGGTGTTGATCAAATCAGAGCACACAAAAATGAAAAATTCTATAGCCCCAATGATTATGGGAAAGATGGCATGAAGATTTCAACATTTGATCAGAATAGCGTGACTCACGCAGGACAGAAACCTTACCAGTGTGATGAGTATACAAAAACCTTCAATGATAGTTTTGATTTTCATCAGCATATACAATCAGGAGAGAAGTCTCTTACATGTGTCAAGTGTGGAAAAGGCTTCTGTTTTAATTCAGTTCTACCTGTTCATCAGAGAGTTCACATGGGAGAAAAACTTAAGTGTAACAAGTATAGTAAGGAATTCAGTCAGAGCTCACATCTACAGACCCATCGGAAAGCCTACATGATAGAGAAACCATACAAATGTAAGCAGTGTGGCAAAAGTTTCGGTCGTAGATCAGCACTAAATGTTCATTGCAAGGTCCACACAGGAGAGAAACCCTATAATTGTGAGGAGTGTGGGAGGGCCTTCAGTCAGGCCTCTCATCTTCAAGATCACCAGAGACTTCACACTGGGGAGAAACCATTCAAATGTGATGCCTGTGGTAAGAGCTTCAGTCGGAATTCACATCTTCAATCCCATCAGAGAGTTCATACAGGAGAGAAACCATACAAATGTGAGGAATGTGGGAAGGGCTTCATTTGTAGCTCAAATCTTTACATTCATCAGAGGGTTCACACAGGAGAAAAACCCTATAAATGTGAGGAATGTGGTAAAGGCTTTAGTCGGCCTTCAAGTCTTCAGGCCCATCAGGGAGTCCACACTGGAGAAAAATCATTCATATGTACTGTGTGTGGGAAAGGCTTTACTTTGAGTTCAAATCTACAAGCCCATCAGAGAGTCCACACTGGAGAGAAACCTTACAAATGTGAAGAATGTGGGAAGAGCTTCAGGAGGAACTCCCATTATCAAGTTCATCTAGTGGTCCACACAGGAGAGAAACCCTATAAATGTGAGGTATGTGGGAAGGGCTTCAGTCAAAGTTCATATCTTCAAATCCATCAGAAGGCTCACAGTGTAGAGAAACCCTATAAATGTGAGGAGTGTGGGCAGGGCTTTAATCAGAGCTCACGACTTCAGATTCACCAACTGGTCCATACTGGTGAGAAACCATACAAATGTGAAGAGTGTGGGAAGGGATTCAGTCGCAGAGCAGATCTTAAAATTCACTGCAGGATCCACACAGGAGAGAAACCATATAATTGTGAGGAGTGTGGGAAGGTCTTCAGGCAGGCCTCAAATCTTTTGGCCCATCAGAGAGTCCACAGTGGAGAAAAACCATTCAAATGTGAAGAATGTGGGAAGAACTTTGGTCGGAGTGCACATCTTCAAGCCCATCAAAAAGTCCACACTGGAGAAAAGCCATATAAATGTGAGGAGTGTGGGAAGGGCTTCAAGTGGAGCTTGAATCTTGACATGCATCAGAGGGTACACACGGGAGAGAAACCATATAAGTGTGAGGAGTGTGGTAAGTACTTCAGTCAGGCCTCAAGTCTTCAACTTCATCAGAGTGTGCACACTGGAGAGAAACCATACAAATGTGATGTGTGTGGTAAAGTCTTCAGTCGGTCTTCACAACTACAGTCTCATCAGAGAGTTCACACAGGGGAAAAACCTTACAAATGTGAGATATGTGGTAAGAGTTTCAGTTGGCGATCAAATCTTACAATTCATCACAGAATCCATGTTGGTGATAAGTCCTATAAAAGTAATAGGGGTGGTAAGAACATCAGAGAATTCACACAGGAAAAAATTCTATAAAGTGATTTTTTTTGAAGACTCGTGTCATTTGAATTTTTCCAGTCATCAAGTCTCTAAAGAAAAAATTCATTTAAGTCAGTGTTTCAGCCATAGCTCTTCATGTCTCAGTGGTCTAGAGACCACATAGCCGAGACACTTGTAACTGGCATAATAAGGCCTTCTTCAATCAGAATCTTGACCTTCATAAAATGTTATTTAGAAGAGAGACATTAGAAAGGATGTCTTACCAGGCCTCTTACAAAAGTATGATGGTCATGCCAAAATTATTCTAGTTTACTAGAATGTTGACTCCATAAAGGAGGAGACTTTGTTTCCGACTGAATCTACATAATGTACTTCATAGGTACTCAACATTTGTTAATACATGGGAAATAAATATATGAGAGTTGTGTTGAGATCACCTCTAGAGTATCATAAATTTGTATTCACTACAGGAAACCTGAAAATAGCCTTAATAAAATTAATGCAGGGAGACAAAGTGTTGAAATACAAAAACCACTCAGTACTAAATTCTCCAATATTAATTTGGCATTGTCCTATTACGATTAGCTCCTGTCCTGCCTTAGCCTCTCTAGTCAAGTTGGGTCCTATCTTCTGGGCTTTTCTAGTGTTCTATTGGTTTTGTACAGTATAGGTTCAATTATCTTTTATAACATAATTTTGTTAATCTTGCAATAACAGGAAAGAACATACTACACTTGATTATTTTTTCAGCACTTAAGGCAAAAGTTTAAATGTCAGGAAGAGTTACTGATGACAAATGTTTCTTAGTAAATGCTGAATTGATCATTTTTTTATTCTCCACATTTTCATTCATGCTTTGCCTTGATTGCCTTCGGAGGGCTTTAGCATTACTTTGATCAAAACTTCTTAAGTTGAGGCTCTTTACAGTAGATTACTTTTGTCAAACTCTCTATCTTCTTTTTCCTGTCCTGAGGGAAGAAAAAGAATTAAAAAGTATGTATTTATTGGAGTTTAATAAGTTTCATCACATTAATTATTGAGGTATGACTGCCTTTCATACTTTTCTATAGCAGTGGGAGTGGAAAAAATAACTCTTGCAAGAGGATTTGGTATATATCAGAATATAGAATATGTATCCTTTGCTCTGAAATTCAGAGTAGGAATTTATGACTAGGAGATTCAAGTAGAAAAAATGGTTAGCACATTGATGTTGCAGGATTTTGTGCAAGTGGAAATAATTTTGTATGTACTCCTACAGTAACGCAGACCTGTGAAAATTATGGCCAAGATTTATGAAAGTAGGAGAACATAACAGTTTAATGTAGTTTAGGAACATCACATACCTTAATCAAACTCATTTGTGTCTGTGTGAGTGTGAATAGTGCATCCAATCGTGTGTGACAGGCTATTTACTGTTATGTAAACAGTAGTGAGGTGAATCTGCAGGGTTTTTTCCTCACACTTCTGCCATTTTAAATTTTCAGTGAGCATCCATTTAACAGTAAAATAGTTATAATAACAAATATTAAAACTGCAAAATGTAATTTGGAAAATTACTAAGAACATATTAATCCCTTATAGTTCAAGAATCATCTGTCGTCATATGGCATATGAGGCATAAATCCATGCAGCCTAGGGTGTTTTAGTGTAATTCTAGCAGTAGGAATTAATGCATCCTAATTCTTGTCAAACTTCCTCACTGGCTGAAAAAATAGCCCAGGACACTGACTTGTCCTTTTAAGTGCTTGCCTGATGGGGAAACTGGCTGGATTTTTCCAGGCACTTTGTAGGAAGGAAAATTTTGAGCTGTGTAAAAGAATGATTTAAAAAACTAGAGTAACAGTGAGAGGGCAAATTCTGAAGATAAGAGAATGGAAATACCTGAGTTTTGGGGATAAAATTTAATAAAGATTTCTAAGGAAAAGATGTTCATAGGGAGGGAACAGCATGATGCCAGTGAAGACTAATGATGGGAACAAGCAGTTTAAACAGGATTGAATACCACTTCTTTTTTCCTTAGGCTTTTTTGTGATGTGTAAAGCTTATTTAGTTAAAGGGCTTTTCTAAGCAAAGGATGTATCCGTGTGAGGCGGATAAAATTTCCTGTGCTTGGATTACAATTCCTGTGGTTTCCTGGACCACACTTTCACATGCTAAGTATGTAAAGTACATAGTACTTCAGATTAAAAATTTTGGGCCTTTGTTGTTTAGTTTGCTCTTAGATATTAGAACAGTCCACCAACTCTGAAGGTCATTTGTTTAGTGGATTAAGCCAAGGGTTGACAAACTACCTCATGTTAGCCAAATCCAGCCCACTGCCTTTAAAGCTTTATTAGAATACAGCAATGTCCATTCTTTTTTGTATTGTTTATAGCTGCTTTCTCTCTACAGTAACAGAGTTCAGTAGTTGTGACAGACACAAAATGATTTGCTTTCTAGCACTTTATAGAAAAAGTTGGCCAACCCCTATGTTAAACCAAAATAATTTGTCTACCCTAACTGAAAAGACCACAGGTAGAGTAGGACTTAGACTGCTTCAGTCAAGATTCCAGGAGAGTTTCCTTTTTATTTTCGTACCTGCTCTTCTGGTTTACTTTGGTGTTTGGGTTAGTCTAAAGATGGCCTTAGCAATTGAGGACTGCCTATTACTTTTTCACAGCCAATGGAAGGGACATTTTCTTTCATTTGTAGTGTTAGGTAATTTATTACTCTCAATATTCGTTGTGTCTCCCACCTTGATTCTCATGTACACTCAAGACTAAACTTGTAGCTGTGTATCCAGTTCCCTTAGCCTTTATGTACTATTGTTTCACCTCTCACTTGCCATCATGGGCTCGACTTCTGCATTTTTGGGGCCTTCTGGGAAATTTTCCTATCTTAGCTTTGAGATTGGCTGCATATTAACATTTTGAGGGACTTGTTACATGTTTGCTTTTGAAAAAAGGGACAAAGTCAAATTCAGTCATTGAATGACAACACACTACATTCACAACTTTGTATGGTCTCTTATGTCACAGGGCAGCTCTGGGAAGGATTGGAATCTTCAAAATTTGGGATAGGGATATGTGGACAGATTCCAACAAAGTTGACTTAGCTGAACCACCTTTGCCATTTCTCTCTGAGGTCAGTCTCTCCCTGCCTGAGGAACCTGTGATGACCTGAGATAGTTTTCTTGCAAGAGATTATAGATCCTCAATACTTGCCTCCACTACTTCCTCATTTTTCTAGATCAACAATGAGACTCAAGTCCTTGCAGGCAATGGGGTTTGGAGTTATCAAGTAGCAAGTATGACCATGTGGAGATAGTATACTATCCAAAATAAGAATTTGTCATCTAACTTATATCACTAGCAACCTAAGAAATATATGGTTGTAGATCCTAAGGGTATTGAAGCAGCTAGAAATATTATTATACCAGGATCAAAGTAAAAGTAATATTTATATCTGGTATAAAATGATGAATTATCCTGGATTTGTTGATATGGCTACACGAAACAGTGATTTCAGACTCTGCAGTAGCTTGAGAATCTGGAAATGCCTTCAACAGTTTGCTCATTTGAGTAACTGAAACTTGGATGCAAAGTTAGCCTACCCATAAGTCAAAATGCCAGAACTTTGTAAGTTTGTTATGGAACAGTTTGACTTGGCATGACTGACATTCTGGACTGGATAGCTCTGTTGTTGGGGGATGCCCTGTGCATTGTAGGATGTCTAGCTGCATCCCTGGACTCTAGCCACTAGTAGCACATGTGTGTGCACAAACACACAATGGTTACAACAGGCAAAAGTGTCTCCCAACACTGCCAAATGCCCCTTGGGAAACAAAATTGCCCCCAACTGAGAACCACTGTTACAGAAGAATGGATTCAAAGACAGGAATGCCACAATGCTGAAATGGATGTATCATGTAAGACCTCACCCAACCCCTATTGTGCCCTGAGAGGGTTCAGAAGACACTCTTTGCCAAAGATTTGAGAAACTCATTGGTGAGAGGAGCATTGGCATTCTTGGAGAGCTGTGTAGTAACAAAATGACAGAGAAAAGCTTTGACATCAAAATGGTCTTGAATTTGATGAGGTTGATGGGATCCTGGAGCATAAGGGGTCAAGTGGAGGAACTTTATTGGCAGGGACAAAGTGAGTGTGTTTATTATAATAAGCAGCAAAGCCAAAGGGATAATCAGAATAGTTTAATAAATAGAGATCTTTGCACTTGCTCATTGATTGTGGTGTCCCTCTGGCTGAAAAAATCAGACTCCTACTAAATTTCTACTTTTATTTTCAATTAGTGGAAAAGGTCTAAGTCTGATAAGTCAGCATGAAAGTTGTGGCCCCTTAGCCAGTTGCATAATATGAGTTAGCTCCCTTTGTCAGAACACCTTGAATGAAAGGCAGGTCTGGTTCCCTTGAGAAAGTACCTTGATGTGCCACTTAAACTGATTTATACCACCATAAACTTCTAGACTTTCCCCAAGTGACTTGTGGCTATATTTAATGGTGACTGTGCCTTAGGTAAATGAAACAACCAGAATATAGAAGAATGACTAGGCTCTAAAGCTGAATTGACATTAACTCCCAGTTAGTAGAAAGACTTATAGAGGACAAATTCAGTAGTGGATGCTTTTTGCTCAGGTTCATTTATGGTTCCAAGTTCCAGGATGCAGAATTGCAATCTTTGTAGTCAACAGCTAACAGAATCCTTGTATTGTTTAATCCATGAAATGAGTATATTTTTGTAAGAAAAGTCAAATACTATAACTGTCTTGTATGTACCAAAATAGTTACCCAAAAGCAAAACCACATTCATAGATTGGTAGCAGAGATCAGTGCTACTAGCAGTGTCTTCAAAGTTGCTTGGATCATGATTTTGATCGTGTCCTCATTCATTTACTTAGTTAACCTGTGCAGAAGATAAGGAAATCTTGGAGAATGGCATGGGATTATTTTGAAACTAATTAGAAGTTAGCTTCAGTTGCAGCTCTAGATGTAGTTTTAATGCTGGAGCAAATCAATATATCTGATGGCACCTGGTGTGGAGCCATTAAACCAATAT